CTGGCTCCCAGCCACATTGCTACACTTACTGCCACTGGTGAGTGCCAGGGGCAGCTCCACCCCTTCCCAAGCAACAAGGCTGGGATCTGGGGAAGAGGAGCTGGCTGGGGCCAGGTCACTTCACTTACTGCTTCTGCAGGAGACTGTGGGGGCTGGCCCAAACCCTTCTGCCAGCATGAGGTCTGCTGCTAGCCCCAGGGACCACCCTGGGCCTTGCAGACCTCCCCCAAGCACAGGGCCCTGGGCTGTTGTTCCGGGCCGTCCGATGGGCTCTGATCACCAAATGAAATGAATAGGCAGGAGGTTTAAAATAAACTAAAGGAAGTTTTTCTTCACACAGCGCACAGCCAACCTGTGGAACTCCTCGCCAGAGGAGTGAAGACCAGGACTTTAACAGGGTTCAAAAAAGAACTAGATAAATACATGGAGGACAGGTCCATCAATGGCCATTAGCCAGGATGGCCAAGAATAGTGCCCCTAGCCTCTGTTAAAAGCTGGAAATGGGTGACGGGAGGGATCAGTGGCTGATTCCCTGTTCTGTTCACTCCCTCTGGCATTGGCCACTGTTGGCAGAGAGACACTGGGCTAGATGGACCTTTGGTCTGACCCAGTGGGACAGTTCTTATGGTCTTATTCTGATCATTTGGTCTGACCTGCTATGTAGCACAGGCCTGAGAGCTGCTCCCAAGAATTCCTAGAGCAGATCTGTTAGAAGAACATCCAGTCATGATTTGAAAATGCTTCCACCATGGTCACTGGGCCTCAGCCACCATCTCAGCACCCTATGGAAATCATAAGAACGGCCAGACGGGCTCAGACCAAAGGTCCATCCAGTCCAGTGTCTGTCTGCCGACCGTGGCCAGCGCCAGGTGCCCCAGAGGGAGGGAACATGACAGGGAATCCTCACGTGATCCCTCCCCTGTCACCCACCTCCAGACAAACAGAGGCCAGGGACACCATTACTACCCTTCCTGGCTAACAGCCATTGATGGACCCAACCTCCATGAATCTATCTAGCTCTCTCTTTTTTGAACCCTGTTAAAGTTCTAGCCTTCACCACATCCTCTGGCAAGGAGTTCCACAGGTTGACTGTGTGCTGAGTGAAGAAAAACTTATTTTAGTTTCTTTTAAACCAGCTGCCTGTTAATTTCATGTGGTGACCCCTAGTTCTTATATTGTGGGAATAAGTAAATACCTTTTCCTTATTCACTTTTCAACACCAGTCATGATTTTATAGACCTCTATCATGTCCCCCCGTATTCTCCAGCGGGGGCTTTTGTACATTTCAAAGGAGGAATGTGGAAGTGCCTATGGACTAGTAGATGGAAATTCCATCGACTAGTTCAGTGGTTCTCACCGTGTGCCATATGGCTCCCCAGGGGGCCATGCCTTACTTCTAGGGGGCCACAGTAAATTTCTGAGGGGGCCACCCCAAACTTAACTGCCAGGAGTATGATGAATGAGGCTCAGAAGGGGGCCATGAGCAAAAAAAGGTGTTATTCCTCGTAAACTGCATTTTAACCTCTTGCATCTGGCTGGGTATTGGTGTGGATGAGCCGCTGTCCATGGGCATCTTTTATACTCTTAGGAGATGAAGCTCTGGGAAGGGCCATTTAGCCCTCAAACGATCAGGTTTGCGGTGGCTCATGTCCCTGGAGTCACTTGTTCAAATCCCAACATCCCCAGAGCTACAATAAATCAGTAGAACTCTGGGCACTGTATTGCGTGTGGCGCTTTGGGTAAGATCTTAACAACGCTGGTCTTCTGTGCTCTGTGTGGTTACTAGAGATCCAGAGGGGTACCTATCTGGAGAGTGGGGGACCATTTGGCTGGCAGTGTCCCTTTCTTCAGCTCTTGTGCAGTACACTGGGGGCTAGGGATGTAAGCGACTAGTCGACTGTCCGATGAGCATATGCTTAATGGGTAGTTGAGTAGTGACTTGACTAGTCGCTTCCCCCTCCCCCCCCGCCTCTGTCAGAGAGAGGCAGCAAGGGGAGGGAGCTTAAAAGCTGGTTCCCCCCAGCACCGTTTCTGTGGGGAGGCAGAGGCATAGCGAGGAAATGGCGCGTTTCGACTTATCGAAATTTAACATCCCTACTGGGTGATGGTGGGTGCCTCTCCGGAGGAGGCTGCATGTTCACTGGTGCAGTTGGTGTGAATTTGAAACTATTGGATGAACTGTGCACTATTTTACATTGGAAAAGGCATGTCTTCCCCTCGGCCTGCTGGTAGTTTTCAGCCTTGGCCTCTGTCTTGTCAAAATAACGTGGCTGTTTTTAAGATATCATCTGCATCATTTTGGGCTGGCCTTCTCCAGACAGGTTATTGGGCTAGAAATACGCAGCTGGGAGCCAGTATAGCAACTCCTTTGTTCTCTTCTGGGAACAGACACCCCACCCCGGTATCCCTCCTTTTCTATAGCTGAGCATCTGAATAACAGAGTTGCCCATTTTAGATTCCAGAAGAGTTTCTGCTGAATGAGGAGGCATGTGCTAGTCTGTGGGGAGGAGGGGTAAGGGCTGTTGGAGACTGGAGGGAGTTGAGCAGAGGGGTTAATTTCACAGAGAACAAGCTGCACGTCGGCCCTGTGGCTGCCTGTTCTTAGGCCTCTTCTTCTAACCGCTGTGTTTCTGTCTCCAGAGAGCAAGATGGCGACGGGCGCAGACGTGCGGGATATTCTGGAGCTGGGGGGTGTGGAGTCGGAGAACACGGGAACCATCAATAAGAAGGACATCATCAATTCTGATAAGGTACCGGGGTGATGGGCCAATCTCGTTGGCCTACGCACCAACTTGAAAACCACACTGGGGTCTGGAAACGTTTCACCTGCTGTTCTCACAAGTATCCTCTCACATGACAAGAATGAGGAAAACAAACGTCTCGCTATTCTAGTAATTCACTTTGGGCAGTGCCTGGCATCTTACGCGTACCTCCATCTTCTGGGTTCCCTGCGTCTCCAGTTACCCGTCGCCTTGTGTTCGCAGAACCCTGATGTATTGTCAGAATTCTGAACGGTCACATGCCACACGTCTGGCAGACTCAAGAAGAATGGCTTTGGGGTTAAGGCACCGAATTCACACCGTGCCTCCGTTGTCCACCTGTTAAATGGGTCTAATACTTTCCCATGCTTCACAGGGGTATTGTGAAGTTAAATGCGTTCGTGATGCTCAGACACAATGGGAGTGGGGCACTCTAGACAGAGAAAAGGACGGGAACCCACATCCCAAAGGACCAAGGGTGTAGCGTAGGTCCCAGACTGTCCAATGTGAGCTGAAGCTAGATAATAATAAAATGCCACTGCAATAAAATGCCACTGCAATCAGCCACTGTGCCCTCTCCACCGAAACGTTCGGCTCCGCAAAGACTAATGTACTGAACTCTGATGGGAGCGTGTGTGTGGCTGCAATGTTCACATCCCTAGCTATGGGCTGTCTAGGAAGGCTAGGAGGAGTAAAAGACTTGTGGGCTGTGTGGCGTAGTGGGGGGCTGTCTGCTCTGTAACCCGGGGTCCCCCTGCGCTGTGATGGGAGATTCTCACTGACTGTGATGTAGCGTTGGTACCTTGCTGGTTGCTATGCTGGGCGGTGGGCTGTGGGTGACACCTACTGGTGGCTGTGTGTGACACAGCCCAGCAGGATAGCCTGTGAGTCACATAGGCAAAGGTTCCTGAACCTGTCTGACCTGTTGAGGCAGGCAGGGAAACAATAGGAGAGGGGTGGAGACGGACGTGGCTGATTTTCCGGAATAAGTGGCCCAGTGTAGACACAGCCCCAATGTGTATTAACCCAGACACCTAGGCTCAGCCTCCCAGGGAGAGACAAAGGGAGGAAGGTGGATACCAGCACCTGGCTGGGTGGCAGGGCCTGGGAGGGAGGCAGTTGCTGGCTGGGAAGCATGGAGAGAAGAGGCTAAGCTGGGGCCTAGGGGCGATGGACCCCTAACCCTAGGGCTGAGGCATGCTGGCCCTGGCCCCTATAGCCACACCACATCTGTGCTGTGCAGTATCCTGAAGGAACAATAAACCCCCCTCTATTCTACGACTGGTGGACCCTGTTCTTGCTGCTACAGGGGTGCAGGACCGGGGGAACCCCGACTACGTCGTCACAGGCTGGCATTCTGCCTTCAAGACGCCCTTGCTTGTTTTAAAGTTAGTGGGAACTCAGAACCAGAGGATCTTGAATGCATATGGATCAAAAGTGCTAACTGACAAAGCCAGGGACTAAGGATGTGAACAGGTAGCTGTTGCATCTTACTGGGTGATGCTTACCAGGTACTGGGTAACCAGGTACAGGAGCAGTCCTGTGCAGCAGTTTGAAACTGGCCATGGCAGCCCCTGCGCAGCTGAGGGGAAGATGGGAAGGGCTGGCAGCAGCAGCCCCCATGCAGCTGGAAGGGCTGGGTTGGAACAGTCCCCCACTAGGATTTCACACTTAATTAGTGAATCATTTAAACCTAGTGTTTATCGGTTAACTGATTAACCAGGATTTTACATCCCTACCAGGGATGGGGTATTGGTACAGATCTGTTCTATGCCACCAAAGGAAACTAGAGACCAGGATGAGTTACTCCTTAAACTCCCATCTGTAATGTGAAGGGTAGGGGGCAAGCAATAGATAACAAATAGAGTAAAGGGTAAGTAGATAACAATCAGTATAAGTTAGGAAGCTTTGAAAAGTAGAAAATTGATAAGGGAAGCTAAAGTCATAAGGGAAAAAAATCTGCAGTTGGCAGAGCTAAGGAAAATAAGGAGTTTGAAAAGTATATCAGCAGCCAAAGAAATTCCAAGAATTGCATAGGCCCATTAGTGGGTGGAGATGTAAAACTGCTAATGATGCAGAAAAGGCAAAAGTGTCCATACATATTTCTATTCAATATTTTGGAAGATGCAGGGCAGTGAAGTAGTTTCCATGCGCTTGGGGTGTCTGCACAGCACAGTTATTTTGAAATAACCATGCAACTGTCCACACAACAATGCCGTGATTTCGAAATAATTTTGAAATAACAAGCGGCTTATTTTGAAATCTGTAAACCTCCTTCCTTGAGGAATAATATTTATTCCAAAATGCTCGTTTGGAATAGCAGTAGTGTGGACGCTTGACTGTTGCTGTCTCCCCAGGGCCGTTCCAAGTAATTACTCCCCAGTGCCTCCTGGGGCTCTAAGTTGAGGTAGGGCGTCCACATTAGGGAGCCTGCCTCGGACTCATTTTGAGGCTTCCCTGTAGTGTAGACGTGCTGTTTTGAAATACAGTAATTCCTCACTTAACATGCGCCTGCTTAACACGTTTTTGCGATAGCACGATTTTTTTTTAAGGGAACATTTTCAAACAACACGACCCCGTCCCTGCAATAACACGCTTTCCCCTAGGGCCGGCCGGTGGCCGGCAGCTGCACAAGGCTTCCCCTGCCTCCCTGCAAAGTGGCAGAGGTTTGCCGCTCGCAGCGCCGTTCCCCAGTGACCCCCTCTGGCTGGAAGCAAGGCATCTGGCCAGAGGGGGTCACCGGGTACTGCGCGCCGAGCGGCAAACCTCCGCCGCTTTGTAAGGAGGCAGGGGAAGCCCCGCGCAGCTGCCAGTGACCGGCCTGCTGGGGAAACCTAGCCGTCGGCTGCAAGCCCCCTCCCCTGTCCTTTCCTTCCCTTCTCCAGAGCCAAACACCTCCCCTCCCTGCTAAAACCCAGTCCCCTTTCTCCCCCAACCTTATGTCCCGGTCCCAGCTGCTAACAAGTGCAGGCTGGAGCTGCGAGTGCACGTGTGCTTGAAACGCACCCCCCACCTTTTCCATTATGTTCAATGGGAAAATTGACCCCGCATAACATATTTTCACTTAGCACGATCATTTTCTGAAACGTATCTACCGTGTTCAATGAGGAAGTACCGAACGCTATTTCAGAAAAAAAATTCCAAAATAAGTGTGCTGTGTAGTCATGCCCTGTGTCACTCAGGAGTATGTTAAACATTTCCTACAAATAAGAACTTGAAAATCAGCAGGCCTGGATAACTTGCACCCAAGAATCCTCAAAGAGTTGTCTTGAGGTGCTCTCTGGCTCACTGCTGTTAGATTTTAAACATCTTGGAAGATTAGGATAATTCCAGAAGAATTGAATGTCCCCGTGTCCAAAAAGCACCCGCTAAAAGGAGCAGGACGGTGAATTTTATCTCTGTGTACAGCATTGGTGGGATCAGTCCCAGAATACCAGTCCAGGCCTCGTGTCCCCATGTGGGATTGGGCCTGCCTTGGGCAGGGGGCTGGACTGGATGACCCCTGAGGTCTCTTCTAGCCCTAGGATTCAATGATTCTAAAAAAGCTGTTGAAAAACTGAAGTCAGTGCAGGGAAGAGCCACAACAGGGATTTGGGGTTTATGGGAGCCTTGAAGAGCTCAGTCTGCTTCATTTCCGGGGGAAAAGACTGAGCGGTGACTTGAGTGGATACATACCTTCACGGGGAGAAAATTCCTTATCTGGCAGGGACAGGCAGAGCACGGGGTAAATGGGGCTGGAAGCTGAAGCCGGGCAGAGTCAATGGGAAATGAGGCACATGGTCAACCAGCGAGGGGCATTAAGCCCTGGACCAAACTACCCCGGGAAGTGGTGGATTCTCCATCTCCTGGCGGTTTTGAATCAGACCGGATACATTTCTAGAAGCCAAACCCTAGTGATTGGGCTCCATCCAGGGAAGAGGGGGCGGCAGAGAATACCCGGTGGGCTATAAGAAGTCAGATTGGGTGATCTAATGGTCTCGTCTGCTGTAAACTCTAAGTCTGTCCCCCCATCTTCTGTTTCAGAAAAAGTCCAAGAAATCCTCGGAGACGCTGACGTTCAAGAGGCCGGAGGGGATGCACCGAGAGGTTTATGCACTTCTCTACTCCGATAAAAAGTAAGGGTGTCGGGGTAGTGCTCTGCAGGGTCTCACGGGAGAACTGGCCCCCCGTGGCTCCAGCCTGTCATTGCCCGGGCTGTCACACTCAGTCTGTGACACAACAGCCCCTAAAATGTAACTCCGGCAGTCTCGTCTCCTCCGGCCTGTCGTCATTTCTGTGGCTCTTGGTTTTCCTTCTCCTTCGGAAACGGGGAGGCCCTGCCCTGGGCAGGTGAGGAGGGAGGTGCAGTCACCTCGCAGCTGCCTCCCCTGAGAGAGCACGTGCACCCTTTGTGACTAACAGCCACTCTGCCAGATGCTGCAGGCCCCTAGACATTAAAGCCAGGAGGGACCATCATGGTCTAGTCTGACCTGCACGTAACCGCTGCCCCTAAGCTCCAGCAGAGTTAGCGATGGCCGCAGAGCGCGGCGTAAAGCTCTAAGTTATGGAGACTCTGCCTCTGTCACTGTTTCAGCCTGCGCCCTTTACGCCCGCTGGCTTCAGAGCCCGCCTGTGCTGAGCTTACGTTGGTTCAGGAGCCTGGGGAGGCGGCTGCCTTGGGGTGCCTCAGAGTGGGAGTGTCGCCCCGGCGCTGCGCAGGGCGTCTCTGCGTCCTGGGGAGGGCAACTCCAGGAATGGGGCTTGACCCCGGGGCTCCTGCCCTGCCCCCCAGGCTGCCGGCATCCAGAGGAATGCAGTGCTGACAGCTGCCTCCCGCTCGGCAGGGACGCGCCTCCGCTGCTGCCCAGCGACACGGCGCAGGGCTATCGCACAGTCAAGGCCAAGCTGGGCTCTAAGAAGGTCCGGCCCTGGAAGTGGATGCCCTTCACCAACCCTGCGAGGAAGGACGGGGCCATGTTCTACCACTGGAGGAGGGCGGCGGAAGAGGGGAAGGATTATCCCTTTGCCCGCTTCAATAAAGTAAGTGGGAGCGGGCGGGGGCGGGGGTGGGGGAAGCGGGCAGGCTGGCTGGTCTGCACAGCAGGCTCAGTGAGCAGCCCCTTCCTCCCGCGCCCCAGCTCCGACTGCAATCACATTCCAAACTGCGCTTTGGCCCGCGACCACCGACCTCAGGCGGCCGTCTCCCCAGATCCTTTGGAATATGCTCAGAGCTTAGCAGGACAACCGGGGTGCCCCAGGGAGTGCTGTGGGGCACTCAGTAGGGGGCGCTGTTGTTCCCTCTGAACAAGCAGGACCCCCCATTACGGTTCGGGGGTGCTGCGTAGCAAGAGGGCTCACATTATGAATGAGACTTAAAATCAAGCTCTTAACTCGTCATCCTGGATCCCATGGCAAACTTTGGGGTCACGTCTACACTGCGCATTGTTGCACAATAAGATATGCAAATGAGGCGCAGGGGTGAATATTGCCACACCTTATTTGCATACCTAATGAGCTGTCATTTTTGTGGCATGGGCTTTTGCGCAAGAAGGAGCTGTCTACACTGCTCCTTGCGCAAAAAACCTCTCTTGTGCAGGAGCCGTTCTGCCGCTTATTTCAGGAAGAACGGCTCCTGTGCCAGAGGGGGAGGACGC